AGGAGACCATTCTGGATCGGCTTTGGGGCAGATTTTTCCTTTCGGCTTATATTGATTAGTGTACTCAAAAGTTGTGTAATGTCCATTAGGTTATATCTTACACAGCATATTTGGTCTAAAGGACATTCCACTGCCTATATGATAAGTAGGACCAGTTCCATTATCCCTTGGGATGTATACTAACCAGCTTTGAGGCTTTAGGGTTAAACACCCTGGACAGACAGATGGAGGAAAGCGATATCCAAGAGAGACATTCATTAACATTCCTTCCTCCTCTGGTTGAGCAGAACACCGGTCATCAGTAGGACCAGGCATCCAAATGCTATCATTTATGTACAGTTCTACAGGTGAATCCATCCAAGTGATAGGTCTAATCAAAGGTGGGAATGGCACCTAAGCCCAATATGTATAGTTCTCTTCTGCTGAAACAGGGTTATTACTTACTGCAGCAGCCAAACCATGACTGCTGCCAGAATAAGATTACCCAGTGTCACCTCCATGCAAGTCTCCAAGGCTTGCTGTTGCCATCTGCAGCAGCCTCTTCATTTGACCCCACGTCAGCGGGTTGGCTTCCTGTGTTGCCTTCATCCCTGAGACCCTCAGCTTGGCTACCTTGCACCATACCACTCCTGGGCCTGGTCTGTTTCTCTTCTTGCTCGACGGTTTGGAGGAGTTCACTGAAAATCTTCAGCTGTCTCATAGGTACCCAAATATGAGGTTGGTTTTCTCCTGGTAATATACAAACATAGCCTCTTCCCCAGGGTACAACCTTTCCCAAGTTCCACTGATTGGTGGCGGAATCTTTCCACCATACTGTCTTTCCTTCCTTCGGATTAATTTCGTGTTCAACAAAATGTTATTCTGTAGCCATGGACGCTTGATCTTTGGAAATGTTCAAAAAATTCAAAGTGACTAGTGCTAATTGTAATTGTACATGGGGAGTAAAATATTCCTTATTGTCTCCCCATTTTTTTGTTTTGCCAACTGAGTTTTTAGGATTCTGTTTGCCCTTTCTACTGTTGCTTGTCCCGGAGAGTTATGGGGGATTTCTGTTGCAGGAATTATGTTCCATTGTTCTAGGAACTGGCTTTAGTGCCTTACTGCAGTATTCTGGCCCATTACCAGTGTTAATTTTTTGTGGGAATCTCATAACTGCAAAGCAAGAAAACAGGTATTTTTTAACATGTGCAGTGTTTTCTCCTGTTTGGCAAGTCAGCCAATGAAAGGAGAGAAAGTACTCACAGTAACATGAACATAAGATAATTTTCAAACGGAAGGAACATGAGGAACTTCCATTTGCCAAATTGAATTTGTGTATAATCCTCTAGGATTTACCCCTGCCTCCTGAGTGGGCAGTTGAAGAACTTGACATTGAGAGCAATGTTGGACAATTTGTTTTACCTGTCTCCAAGTTAAAGGAAATTTGCTTTCTACAAACCCGCCGCATTTGTACGTGTTAATGCATGAAATTTTTTGGCTTCTGTAAAAACTGGAGAAACCAGTACATTTGCCTGTTTGTTTGTTTGAGCTAAAGGTCCAGGTAAACAAGCATGTGCTCAAATGTGTGTGATATAAAATGGAGCTTCTTTGCTTTTAACTGCTTTTTAAAGTGATTCAAATAGCTTTCTTAATTGATTATCCGGAATGTATTTTAACAACGCAGTTTCCACATTTTTTGTAGACTGTACTACATAAGCTGAGTTTGAAACTATATTAACTGGTTGCTGTATATCTGTAAGGGACCAAGATAACTGCTCGTAACTCTACTCTTTGTGCTGATTGAAAATTTGTTTGGATAACGCTATGAAAAGGACCTTTGTAAGCTGCCTTTCCATTCTTAGATGCATCAGTAAAAACGGTAACAGCGCCTTTTATTGGCTGACCTTGAGTAATTTTAGGTAAAACCATGATGCAAGCTTTAGGAACTGAAAAACTTTTGTTTTAGGATAATGATTATTAATTTTGCCTATGAAATCTGCCAAGCTTAATTGCCAATTGACCGAATTGATGTAAGCTTGTTGAACTTGTTTTTTAGTTAAAATAACAATTATTTTGTCAGGTTCATATTCAGACAATTGAACAATCCTTGTTCTGCCTTTACTAATGACACTAGCTATTTGATTCAAGTATACAGTTAAAGTTTCACTTGTACTGTGAGGTAAGAAGACCTATTCTACTAAACTTCTATCTTGAACAAAGACTCCTATTGGAGAATGAGGTGTTGAGAATACAATGAGCTGTAACTGTGAGTTACTGTTAATTCTTTCTACTCGGGCTTGCTGTATCTTTTCTTTAATTATTTTTAACTTCTCAGCTGCTTCTTTTGTTAACACTTTCACTATTTAAATTTGGATCTTCTTTTAAACTTGCAAATCGATTAGACATTGCTAAGTAGGAGTACCAAGAGCTGGGCTTTTCCAGTTAATATCTCCTAACAACTTTTGAAAATTATTTAATGTTTTAAGTCTGTCCCTTCTAATTTCTCCCTTTTGAGGGCGTATTTGCCTCTTTTCAACTTGCATTCCCAAACGTTTTACCGGTGTTGAGGTTTGAATAGTATCAGGAGCTATAATCGGCCCTGCTTTCTGCACACTCTTTCAGGCAATTACAGCATAGAAGCAACTTTTCTCCAGTTTCTGCAGCACATGATACATCATGAACATAGTGAATGATACAGCATTGAGGAGACTGCTCTCTAACAGGCTGAATAGCATTTCCCACAAAAGTTCGACACACTATAGGACTATTTAACATTCCTTGAGGCAAAACCTTCCATTGATACCTCGCAGCTGGCCTTTGGTTGTTTACAGCAGGTTGTGAAAGCAAATCTTTTGCAATTCTGCTTTGCCAGAGGAATTTTAAATAAAGTTTTTTGTTTTTTTGTTTTTTTGTTTTTTTTTTGAGACGGAGTTTCGCTCTCGTTACCCAGGCTGGAGTACAATGGCGCGATCTCGGCTCACCACAACCTCCGTCTCCTGGGTTCAGGCAATTCTCCTGCCTCCGCCTTCTGAGTAGCTGGGATTACAAGCACGCGCCACCATGCCCAGCTAATTTTTTGTATTTTTAGTAGAGACCGGGTTTCACCACTTTAACCAGGATGGTCTCAATCTCTTAACCTCGTGATCCACCTGCCTGGGCCTCCCAAAGTGCTGGGATTACAGGCTTGAGCCACCGTACCCGGCCCTGAAACAGTCTTTTAAATCTATGATTATTAAAGGCCATTCTTTTGGGATCGTCGCTGGTGAAGGCATACCTGGCTGTATTGCACCCATGGGTTGGAATACTGCATTTACTGCTTTCATCCCCCAGAGTTTTTTTGAATTACAAATACCGGGGAATTCCAGGGAGAAAATGAAGGTTCTATATGCCCTCTTTCCAGCTGCTTTTGTGCTAATTCGTGTAGAGCCTCCAATTTACGCTTAGGAAGCAGCCACTGCTCAACCCATATCGGGTTTTCTGTTTTTCATGTTAAAGCAACGGGTTCTGGAGGCTCATCAGTGGCTGCTACTAAAAGTTGTAGCCAATCCCTGCTCTGTCTAATTTTATAGCAGCTGCTATAAGTTGAGTGATTCCATTTTCATTTTTTCCTAATCCTTTTCCAGGCCAATATCCCATTTGAGACATAATCTTTTGACCATTTGCTTGCTGTAAGCGTTTGGTAGAAAACAGATTTCAGTCCCCCACTGTTGTAAAATGTATCTCCCCCACAAATTAATGGAATCATTAGTAACTATAGGTTGAATAGTGCCTTGCTGGACTTTAGGTCCCATACAATGCAAAATTAAAGAGCTCGGATGAACTTCAGAGGCTATTCCAACCCCAACTAACTTTGTATTAGCCTTTTGTTTTGGCCAGTGCTTGGACCATTGACTAGAGCTTATTATGGAAACATCCCCTCCAGTATTTACCAGACCTTTAAAAGTTTTTTCTTGAATTGCAATATTACAAACCGGCCAATTATCTGTAACTTTGCTTGCCCAGTACACTGCTTTTACTTGAAAATTACCAATTTGCTCCTTTCTTACTGCATTAGTGGTTCCTACTTTTACATAAGGTAGAAGCAATAATTAAGCAATTCTATCTCCTAGTTCTGCTTTCCAGGGTGCACTGGAATTCACTATCAATTGAATTTCTCCCTTTAGATCTGGGTGAACAATTCCCACAAGAATTTGCACTCCCTGCAATTCGACACCAGCCCTACCTACAAGTGCTACCGTATTTTCTGGTAGAGGCCCGCACACTCCTGTAGATAATTTATGTGGTACGTCCCCTGGGAGAATTGTTACAGGACCAATGCAGCACAGACTTACTGTTGAACATCCTGAGGTAGCAGGAGAGAATTTTTTTTTTTTTTAATTTTACAACACTTGGTCTATGGTGGCATTGGCTGCACACCGCTGTAAACTACAGGTGTAGCGACTTCTACCCATCATCCTGTTAATTGTCCTGGTGGCGGAGGTCATACCACCTGAGTTTGCCACTTAATGAACGGATTCGTACCTTGCCAGGACTGTGGAGGAGGTGGCCATTCATGACTATCCCATTTTGGTGCTGTTGGCTCAGCTGGTTTCAGAGTGAATACGGAAGGAGATTCCTCCAAACTGTGAGGCATTTTAGACACATTTGCATAGATTACCTCCTTTTAACGCTGCCCTCTTGAAATTGCTCTTTCCGTTTCTCTTTTTCCGACCTGACAGATTTTCTATCAAACTCTTCTTCACTATTATCTTCTATACTGATATTTCCACTATTCTCAGGACTTCCTACAGCCCCCTGACTCTCTTTGCCGAGAGTGCTTTTTACACTATTCTCAGGAGTTCCTATATCTGGGAACTCAGACAATATTGATTCACTGCCTCAAAGAGAGTAATGAGATTTTCCGTCCCAATCTTTATACCCCCTTTCTTTAAAAGTTTCCGAATAAGAGCAAGGTAATTATTATACTTGCTGTATGATTTTCCCATTTTGTTACCCTAGAATATTCAGGTGCACTAGCTTACCGCTAGGCCGACAGAAACACGTTCCCGGAAATTCCTCGATGAACTGCTCCCCGCAAATGACCACGCTCGAGCGTCTCTTCACCAGGAACACAGGGAATCCACGTTGAGCGACAGACCTTGGGAAGCAGCCCAATCCTGTGCGTGGGTGCTCCCGGTCCCAGAAGTGACGAGGGAATGAGAAAAGAAAGACAAAGACACAAGAATAGAATGTTACAGCAGGGGTCCAGGGGCCTAACGCCCTCTGGCGGGTCTGGGCTTCTGGCGCTTTTATTGGGTGCATTATCTTGCTAATCTTGCAGGGCTGTGGGGAGGGGGTTGAGGAGGAGGATAGCCAGAGGAAGTGCAGGTGTCTGCAGCATTCAATAGCAAATAGGTTCTAAGAAATGCTAACTAAGGACACTGAGATTTCACCACCCATTGTCTATCCAGGTGCTTTGGCAAGAGAGATGCAGTGGATAAGGCGCTATAAGGCCTGGCCGCTATGTATGAATTTTGTGGAGGGACACAATGCATCAAGGGGCTTTTATCTCCCCAGCATTGTGAACACAGAGCAATTGGAATTGCGCCATATTCTGAGAACGTAGGCAGAGCCTGTGGTGTTCCCATGATCTCTGCCTTATAAGGCTTTCTGGCCTTACCAGCTCCCATCTGCAAAGACCTGCCCAAGTCTTGTGAGCAGAGGTTGCATTACTTCCCAGTCTTTTGCATAAGCTCCTTTTACGAGATCCTCACACAAACTCCATGTTGGGAAGGGCTGTGGGACCAAAGCAGTTTTTTCTGCTTTGCAGCCACACTGCAGCGTTCAGCAGTTACAAACACTCTCAGACGCTCTTTATCATAGGCCTCCTGTTACCGCTTGATCTCTGCTTTATTTTCCTGCACCATAGTTTGCTTATCCGTGGCACAAATCTCAGTGTATAAAAAAGCAAAGCAAGCTTGAATCATTTCACCGTAAGTAACACAGGTCTGCCCCTGGCCATCTCTTCCCACAGGGATTGAAATGTCAAGTGGGTCAATCATCAGGCCACAGTGGTGGCAGCATACCTATCTTTGTGCCTCAAGGCAGTGTATGTGGTGTTCATGCTTCTCAGCAGGCCAATTTTTAGGTCTGCAGGTGGCTTGCTCAGATACGGATAATGGCAGCAGTGAGCTGGGTGGGTGAGCAGGTTCTCAAGCCCCTGTGCAGCTAGTGTGGCATGGACAATGACAGTAGCAGCATGATTCTCTGGGTCCCAAGCAGTGTGCATTGATGTTGATGGTGGCTCCAATGGCCTGGAAAGGCCAGTCTCCAGGACCACAGGTGGCACTTGCAGGTAGGTGGTAGTGGCTGGGAGTTAGGCCCACCCTAGTCCCCTAGAGAAAAGTGCTCAGGTGCCCAAGGTGGTGGGTTGGGTTAGGCAATCCCCAAGATGCTGGCCTATGTGTTCTCTTTCCAAGAGGGGAGGCTGAAGCCAGGCTGATTTGGCTTGTGCTCAAGCCCCCAATGGTGAAAGCGGACACCAGCTATGGTATGTGGGAGCAGGACGATCCTCAGGCCCCCAGCAGAGTGCTCAGGTGAGAAGAGGAGCAGCCACAGTGAGGCCCTGCCACTGGAGAGGGTGAGGCCAGTTTCAGTGGCCATAGCCTGGAATGGCAGATGGGGAATATGCATCCCTCTCAGCCTTGGTCCCAGGAGGGCTTCCCCTAAACCAGCCCCAGCTGGAGGAGCTTTTGACCAGCTTGTGACCACGCTGCAGCAGCAACTGACAGCCCACTACTTGACCCAGTCTCAGTCACAGCAGCATTCACGTCCTAGGACCAGAAACTGCAGCCCACACCTCTCTTGCCTCTCAGCTCTCCCTGCAGAGTGCTCCCAGATCATACTCTAGTCTCAGCAGCAACAGTTTCAGTTTCCCCAACACTTCAGACCCAACACTGTTGGGCCCCAGCACAGCATGCAATCTGCCAAAGGCTAAGTTCGAAAATGTTCCCTTACTATAACTGCATAGGTCTCAGAAAGAGTGTGGAACATAGTAGGCTGCTGCAGTTCTGCCCTGGAGCAGTTCTGCCCCAGTTTCCCAGCAGCTGCCTATGGTAGGCAGCCTGGAGGGTCGAAGGGGTTAGGTCTTGAGAAGGTTAAAGGGATCTCCTGAGGCCAGGATTGCATGATTCTGCAGTGGGATGTGGGCCACTGGAAGTCTCTCACTCACCTCTATTGGGAAATCACTCCCAGCTCCCAGCAGATCCCAGCTAGGGAGGCTGCCTCTGTTCCTTCTCCTTCCCTGCTTTTAGTGTTTCCTGTCACCTCTCTGTTGAATTCCAGCATTCTCCCTTGTAAAATGTGTTTAAAATGTTTTGACTGTTTGTATACTATTTTAGTTCTTCTAAGTGGAGGAGGTAGGCATTAAATGCTTCTAGTAAGCCATTTTGAAACTTGATCTTTTATTTTTAAAACCAGACATTCTTTTTCTCCAGGAATTTATCTCTCTAGGAGAAATATGACTACTATATTGGTCATTTTTCACCTAATTCCATATACGCAGATGTCAAGATTGGAAGACAGGCCCATAAACTCCTTACATGTTATAGAATTGCCATAATTCATGTAACTGGTCTCCTACTTGTAGAAATATTGTTTCTGCTTATAGAAATATTGTTTCCAATATTTTCTCTTATAAACAATGCTGCAATGAATATTCTTATGCACCTATCTTTTCATGCTTATGTATGTAGGTTATATTCTGATGGATAAATCTAGAATGTATATACGTGGGGTCAAGTTACTGAATCCAATGGTATATGCATTTTAATATATATACGTGTGGTCAAGTTACTGAATCCAATGGTATATGCATTTTACTGTTTTTGAGACATCATCCCACTACATCACCTAGGCTGGTCTCCAATTCCTGGGCTCAAGTGATCCTCCTGCCTCGATCTCCCAAGTATCTGGGACTACAAGTACTTGCTACCATGCCCAGCTTTTAAATCCTGAATTTATTATTATTATTATTATTACGTATTTTGGAGATACAAGGTCTCATTTTTTTGTCCAGGCTAGTCTCAAACTCATGGACTCAAGCTATCCCCTTCCCTCAACCTCCCAAGTAGCTGGGACTACAGGCATGTGCCACCATGCCTGGCTTTAAAATCCTAAATTTTTATTTATTATTATCATTTTATTTTGCAGAGACTGGTCACTGATCACTTTGTTGATCAGGCTGGTTTCAAACTCCTGGCACAATTTGCCCTTCTCAGCCTCCCAAAATGCTAGGATTGTAGGCATGAGCCACCATGTCTAGCTATCTTTTCATGTATTTAATAGCCTCTGTATTCTCTTTTCCATAACTCTCCATTAATATTCTTTACTCGCCTGTATTAGTGTGATAGGAATGCTGTAACAAAATACCACAGAACAGATGGCTTAAACAACAGAAATTTATTTCTCGCAATTCTGGAGACTAGGAATCCAAACTCAAGTGTTGTTAGGATTGGTTTTTCCTGGGACGTCTCTTCTCGGCTTGGAATTGGCCACGTTTTCACCGTGCCCTCACACAGTCATTCCCTTGTCTGTGTATGTCCTAATCTCCTCTTCTTTTTTTTTTTTTTGAGATGGAGTTCCACTCTTGTTACTCAGGCTGGAGCACAATGGCGCGATCTCGGCTCACCGCAACCTCTGCCTCCTGGGTTCAGGCAATTCTCCTGCCTCAGCCTCCTGAGTAGCTGGGACTACAGGCACACGCCACCATGCCCAGCTAATTTTTTGTATTTTTAATAGAGACGGGGTTTCACCATGTTGACCAGGATGGTCTTGATCTCTTGACCTCGTGATCCACCTGCCTCAGCCTCCCAAAGTGCTGAGATTACAGGCGTGAGCCACCGCGCCCGGCCATCTCCTCTTCTTATAAGCACATCAGTCATATTGTATTAGGGTTCGCCCTAACAATTCCATTTTAACTTAATTACCTCTTTAGGGGCACTGTCTCCAAATACAGTCACATTCTGAGGTACTGGGGACTAGAACCTCTATGTCAGAATTTTGTGAGGGACAGAATTCAGCCTAACATTTTACCCACTGGCCTCCCAAAATTCATATCCGTCTCACATCTTATATAAGTAGCAAAGAGAAACTGGGCAGTGCCTTTAACTCTTTTGTGATATCCTGCTTTTTGCCAGCTAAAACTAACTCTCCTTTTCCCTGACTAAAAGCTGTTCAGGCTTTATGTTAGCCTTTTTGAGCTGACCAGACTCCATCTTGGCTTCTGCATTTTAGTAACCTTCTCCCTGTTAAGTATGTGACTATAATATAAAGCAAGGTCAGGCTGACACAGGGCACCCAGGAATGCCTTTGTTGATAAGAGGCGGAGTAAGCAGTATCAGCAGAGCCTGGAAATGCAGCTGCAGTGAGCGCCCAGAGCCCGCCTTATCTATAGTGTGTATGTCTTTCATGACAGCTGTACTCCTCACTCCTGACACTGTTTTATTTCCTATGTATCAGTCTTTACTTCTAACTTTTTGCTTACTCTGCCTTTGTGAAAACTTTTTTTCAGCTAGGTTCCCCCCTTCCTGTTAAAACTAGTGTATAAAAGACCACCTAACTTTTTCTTCGGGGCCGAGAGAATTTGGGGCGTTAGCCACCCTCGGTTGCTGGCTTAGTAAAGGACTCATAATTCATTCTCAGAGTGTAGCGCGTTCCTTGACTCACTCGGGTACAACACTTTGATTAGAAATCTCCACAGCGAAGTCCGCAAATTTGTCACTTAAACATTCTACTTTCCACAAGACGCTAGAATACAACGTGGCCAAGCTCTTTGCCTCTTTCCTCCAGTTTCCAGTAACATATTTCTAATTTATGTCTGAGGCCTCACCAGCAATACATTTAATGTTTATATTTTTACCAAAATTCTGCTTGTGATGACCTATGTATGTCTCTAAGGTAATAGCAGCTTTCCCTGCAGTGCTCCTATTTCTTTCTGAGTGCTCACTAGAATTCTCATTAACACCGATATTTCTACCCAGTCTCTTGAAGACAATCTAGGCTTTTTCTAGCACACACCTCAAAATTCTTCCAACCTCTTCCCATTAGCACATTACAAAGACACTTCACATTTTTACATTGTTAGAGCTTCATCCTACTTCTGGTATCAAAACCTGCATTGGTTTGCTAGGGCTGCCGTAACAAAATACTGCAGACTACCTAGCTTAAACGACAGAAATGTACTGCTTATTTCTCCGGAACACAATTCTGGCGGGCAACGAATGTGTCAGCAGGCTTGATTTTTTCTGAGGCTCTCTCCTTGGCTTTCAGATGTCACCTTCTTTCTAATCTCACATGGGTGTCCGTCTGTCTGTGTTGTCTATGCTCTAATCTCCCCTTCTTATAAGAATACCGCCAGGCGTGGTGGGTCACGCCTGTAATCCAAGCACTTTGGAGGCCAAGGCAGGCGGATCACCTGAGGTCAGGAGTTCAAGATCAGCCTGACTAACATGGTGAAACCCTGTCTTAAAAAAAAAAAAAAAAAAAGAATACCACTCATATTAGATTAGGGCCCACACTAATGATACCAGTTTAACTTAATTACCTCTATCTCCAAATACAGTTCTATCTTCAAATACAGTCACATTCTGAGGTGCTGGAGGTTAAGACTCCAACATCTAAACTTTGCAGGGACACAGTTCAGCCCATAACACCATTTTTCTACCAGATAGTTGGACCGTTTTCTTTGATTGGTAGGGTACTCTGTATGTATTAAGGAAATGGAATTCTATGCAGTTAATAGAATTAGAATGAATCAACACAACATGTGTTGACATACAATAATTTCCGAGATAGAGTGTTAATTTTTTAAGGCTCAAAACAGTGTGTAAAGTAAGTATATATCTGTCTGTATCTAGAATATCTCTGGAAAGATCAATGAGAAACTCATAGCAGTAATTGCCTCCAGAAATAGTAATTCTAGGGGAGATGAAATAGATGGCTGGAGGCCGGGCGCAGTGGCTCACGCCTATAATCCCGGCACTTTGGGAGGCCAAGGTAGGTGGATCACGAGGTCAAGAGATCGAGACCATCCTAGTCAACAAGGTGAAACCCCATCTCTACTAAAAATACAAAAATTAGCTGGGCATGGTGGCGCACACATGTAGTCCCAGCTACTCGGGAGGCTGAGGCAGGAGAATTGCTTGAACCCAGGAGGTGGATGTTGCGGTGACCTGGGATGGCGCCATTGCACTCCAGCCTGGGTAACAAGAGGGAAACACCGTCTCAAAAAAAAAAAAAAAGAAATAGATGGCTGGAGGAAAGAAAGCTTATTTTTTCATTACATACCTTTTGTATTTTCTAAATTTTTAATGCATTACATATTCAAAAGAAGAAATACTGGGCCAGGTTCAGTGGCTCATGCCTGTAATCCCAGCACTTTGCGAGGCCAAGACAGACAGATCACCTGAGGCCAGGAGTTCAAGACCAGCCTGACCAACATAGCAAAACCCCATCTCTACTAAAAATACCAAAATTAGCTGAGTGTGGTGGCATGTGCCTGTAATCCAAGCTACTCAGGAGGCTGAGGCAGGAGAATCACTTGAACCCGGTAGGAGGAGTGATTACGCTGCTGCACTCCAGCCTGGGTGACAGAGTGAGATTCTGTCTTAAAAAACAGAAAAAAAAAAGAAATATAACTTCATGAAACATTCACACAAGCACACACACGTGGTGAACAGTGGAGATGGAAGACAAGGAAGAAGATCTAGAAGCACAATGCATCCTAAATTCAGACTCAAGTTCTAGAGGCAGAGTTCTCCACTCTATATAGTTTTGGAGCTGGGCCATTGACCTCGCCTATTTAGTTATTGGACATTCATGAGTGTTTTTCATAAGCCAGGCTAGGTATTAGATGTTCTGACACAGGAAGCAGCCCTGTCTTCAAGGAGTTCTTATACCAGTCGGGGAAAGAGAGAAGTAATCATACTATTAGTCATGCTGAGTCATGGTGATAACACCAGTACAGGATGTTATATGGGAGCACAGAGGAGAGGCTCAACCCAGCCTGCAGTGAAGATGTCCCTACAGCAGGTAATGCTGGCCTCTCTCTGCTGCCCCGGCTCCCCTATTATCACTACCTTCTTCTCTTAGCTCTTTCCTGCTGGCAAAGGGATCTGAGCATCTTCCCATGCTGTTGTTCTTGCAGAGCAGCTGCAGGAGCCCCAAGTCACCTTGAAGTCTGTGAAGGTGTCTGAGAACTTCTCCTGTAACATCACTCTAATGTGCTCTGTGACGGGGGCAGAGGAAAGTGTCCTATACAGCTGGACCCCAGGGGACTCCCATGCTTCTGAGTCCAATGGAGGCTCCATTCTTACAATCTCCCGAATGCCCTGTGACCCAGACCTGCCATATACCTGCACAGCTCGGAACCCCGTCAGCCAAAGCAGCTCCCGCCCTGTCCATGCTGGGAAGTTCTGTACAGGTAACTGGCTCCAGTTTGGCCCTTGAGGGAATTCCAGAAAAATGTGAGCAGCTGTGGAGTCTAAACTCCAGAGTTCTGGTCGGACACAGAGTGGGTGGGGAAGCAAGAGGACAGGCCCAAAGACTCCTTATTCGCTATCTCAGGAACCTGAGAGGGGCTGGCAGGACTGGGGAAAGCCCAGAACACTGAGACTCTAAGGGTAGAGCAAGGGAGGAGAAGACAGTTTGGATAAAGGAGTCCAGATTGGTATTTGCTTGGGCAGAGGTGTTTCCAGGCACCCTCAGAAGGGCAGAAAGGGGCACGAGAGTCCAGGTATTCAGTAGGCAGAGCCAAGTGGAACAGGTGGTCATGGGGAAGTAGCAGATATGCCCCTCAGAGGATGAGGCTAGGGGGAAGAGGCAGAGGAGGAGGGACTCCGGTCCCCTTGGTCCCCTTAAGGCTGCCTGAAGGCCAAGGGAGTAGGGACACTGACTGAAGCTGCAATATCTCACCTCTGACCACAGATCCAGGAGCCTCCAGAGGAGAAACAATGGGGGAGACTGTGGTAGGGGTCCTGGGAGAGCCAGTCACCCTACCACTGGCACTCCCAGTCACCTGTCGGGACACAGAGAAGGTTGTCTGGATGTTTAACACGTCCATCATCAGCAAAGAGAGGGAAGAAGCAGCAACAGCAGATCCACTCATTAAATCCAGGGATCCTTCCAAGAACAGGGTGTGGGTCTCCAACCAGGACTGCTCCCTGAAGATCGACCGGCTGATGATAGAGGATGCCGGTCGCTACCATGCCTATGTGTGCTCAGAGACCTCCAGAGTCACCAGCATGACACATGTCACCCTGCGCATCTACCGTGAGTCTCTGGGCAGGGCACCCCTCATTAGATTCCTTCCCTGAAAGCTTTCTCCTCTGCTGCCTTCTCCACCTCCCCCTTCTCCCAGGTCTTCCCTCATACTGAAATGCCTCAGACCACCCTGTTCAGTTCACACCAGTTGATGCACAGGAAGAAAACTCATGGCTAGCTGCTGGGGCATGGTGGTAGGCTGTCAGTTAGACCTCTGCCACCCAAATTTAGGTGCTTGCCCCAGACCATCTGCATTGAGTCTCAGAAGGGACTAGGAGGCCAAGCGTGGTGACTCATGCCTGTAATCCCAATACTTGGAAGTCAGGAATTTGAGACCAGCCTGGCCAACATGGTGAAACCCTGTCTTTACTAAAAATACAAAAAGGAGCTGGATGTGGTGGTGGATGCCTGTAATCCCAGCTGCTCGGGAGGCTGAGGCAGGAGAATCCCTTAAACCCCAAGGGGTAGAGGTTGCAGCGAGCCGAGATCATGCCACTTCACTCCACTCTGGGAGTGAAAGGACTAGGAACTCACCAACCTGCGTATTCTTTTCTTTCTTTTTTTGAGACAGAGTCACACTCTGTCGCCCAGGCTGGAGTGAAGTGGTGTGATCTTGGCTCACTATTACCTCTGACTCTGGGTTGAAGGGATTCTCCTGCTTCAGCCTCCTGAGTAGCTGGTATTACAAGCATGAACCACCACATCTGGCTAATTTTTGTACATTTCGTAGAGACGGGGTTTTGCCATGTTGGCTAGGCAGGTCTCAAATTCCTGACCTCAGGTGATCCACCTGCCTCAGCCTCCCAAAGTGCCGGGATTACAGGAGTGAGCCACGACGCCTGGCCCCAACCTGCATTTTTATAGACTATTACATTTTCAATAAGGCCAGAGCTGGCTGGGCCAGAGGAAACTAAGGAGAAGCTCCTGATGTCCAAAGACACTGTGGCCTCCGGGAAGGTGGGACGCTCAGCTCCCCTGAGCTGAGGAGCAGAACTTGCATTCTACTTCTCAGTCCTGGGCCTCACAAGAGCTTGGCTTGGCACTCGCACGGTTTATGTTTACCTGTTCCTCCACCTGTGCCATTCAGACAGGGTCACCTTCCCCCTGCCTGAGTTTGTCAGGGTCTAGGTATCTGTGAAGAGTCACCGTCATGGTTTTGTTAAAATACGCAGCAAGTCAGCCAAGTCCGTGCCGATTGCCCACAGTGACTCAAATATAAAGAAACCCACAAGGTTAAGTAAAAATAAGAATAAACAGGAAACAAATAGAGTCAGTCTTATCGTTTCTTTTAAAGTTGCTAATATTTATTGAGCATTTATCTGTGTCAGGTAACAGAGGTGTCAGCGCTCACCTCCCTGCATCCCTTATCTCAGATAAATAAATCAATCGGCCTCAAAGGTAAGCCTTGAAGGGTCTTCACAGCGCATGGAAGAGTCTCACCTGTGTTGATTGGTTTGATTGCTTTCACGGCTGTAACTACACTGTATAGAATGAGTTAGTACCCTTCTCTCTTCGCTTTTCATTAGTTCCCTAATTTCTCACCTGAGCATCAAGAGGTGAAGCGGTGTGTCTGAGATGTCACAAGTAGTGGGGAAAATGCCAGGTGTACACCCGAATTCCTGTGGCTCCTGGAGGCGCTTTGCTGGCAGTGTCAACACTCAGCTTCATGAATACGTTTTCAATGAATGAAGATGGGTGACTGCCCGGGGGGCAGGCCTGATTCCACAGGGAGTCTGCCCCTCTCCTCACAGGGAGGCTGAGGAAGCCCAAAATCACATGGAGCCTCAGGCACACCGAAGACGGCATCTGCAGGGTCAGCCTGACCTGCTCCGCGGAGGACGGGGGAAACACCGTGGTGTACACATGGACCCCACCGCAGAAGGAAGCTGTGGTGTTGCAAGGGAAATCACACCTCAATGTCTCATGGAGAAGTGGTGAAAATCACCCCAACCTCACATGCATAGCCAGCAACCCTGTCAGCAACACTTCCCACCAGTTTCCTTCTGAGAACATCTGTCCAGGTTTCTCTCCATCTCTATTAACTCGGGCCACGGGGCCTTGGGTCCTCAGATCCAAGAGTCTACATTCTGATTGATTCTTTATGAAGTGCAGTGAGAGGCTGTGGGTGAGAGCCCTTTAGAGTGGCATGTATGCATGGAAATATGAGCCATGCATGTGATTTTAATGTTGTAAAGCCATGTTAGAAAAAGCAAGAAGAAATACATAACGTTATTTTAATAATATGTTTTATTGGGGTCAGGCGCAATTGCTTACACCTGTAATCCTAGCACTTTGGGAGGCCGAGGCAGGTAGATCACCTGAGGTCAGGAGTTTGTGACCAGCCTGGCCAACATGGCAAACCCCATCTCTACTAAAAATACAAAAATTAGCTGGGCATGGTGGCACATGCCTGTAATCCCAGCAACTCAAGAAGCTGAGGCAGGAGAGTCACTTGAACCTGGGAGGTGGAGGTTGCAGTGAGCCGAGATCACACCACTGCACTCCAGCCTAGGTGACAGAGCGAGACTCCATCTCAAAAAAACAAAAGAAAAATATGTTTTATTTAACCAAAAGTATCCAAAATACATTATTTCAATGCTTATTCAATACAAAAAGTATTCATTAGACACTACATTTTATTTTGTATTAAGTCTTTGAGGACCGGTATGTATTTTACACTTACAGCACGTTTTGATTCAGATGCTAAATTTTCAATGAAAGTGTTTAATCTATCTTCAGATTTTGTAAAATTTACAGTTGAAAAAATAGACGTATGCACCCAAGTTATTTCAAGCATACTCACCAGTTTTTCAAGTCGGAACTGAGTAGCCATTTTTAAATTAAAACTGAAACTAAATAAAAGAAACAGTTTGGTGTCTCAGTAATACCAGCCACATTTCAAGGGCTCATACATAGTTTGTGGCTACCATATTGAACAGTTAGAGGCTTGTGGAGAACAGCTGATAGGAAGTTGATATGGAAGGGAATGTGGACCACACAGGAACAAAGGCTGTGTGGGGGGGAACTGGAAAAGAAGCCCAGTGGCTCTTACTAAATGCCAAACACTATTCTAGGCCTTCATGCATTTCTGCATTTTCTTCACAACAATCCTACAGAGTACATATTCTCGTTTTTCTCCATTATATGAATAAAGAAACTGGGGCTCAGAAAAGATAAGGGACTTGCCCAAGGTCACACAGTAAAGGCTGGATTAGAACCCTGAGCTCTATCTGCTGCTCTTCCACAGCAGGAAGCAGAAAAAGGTATGGTCTACCCAGGATCTAACAATGTTGGGTCAGATTGTATCTGGCAGACAGATCTAGAGCCTGGATCTTAGAGCCAGAGTTTCAGGAATCTGGAACTCCCCTCATATCATTTACAGAGGGGCAGTGAAACATGGCGATTAAGGGCGCTGTAGGATCTGTACTAAAACCTCAGGTCAGACACTTAAAACTCTTTGGCACTGGGCAAGCCATAAATCTCTCTACCCAGGGGCTGTCTGCCTCAGGTACTACTATAACCTCTTGCCTAGAATAATGCTTGCTCAAAAAATGGTTGTGGAATGAATGAATGAAAAGAAATACTTTCCGCAATGCATGGATTTTAAGGGGCGGGTAGGATGGCCATCATGTTCTGTCCATCGTTTGCTCCAGTGTGTCTTGTCATTATGTGTATTAATATCAGTCATTTCCTCTTCAAAGGGCCCAGGAGAAACATGAAGCTTTGGATTGGGTTGCCCCTGATGGTTTGCCTTCTGTGCCTTGGGATCTTCAGCTGGTGGTGCATTTGGAAGCAGAAAAGACGGTGTGGGTTTCTGAGATCAGTGTTGTTTGCCAACGCTAGGCCATTTCCCTGGGACCTGTGGAGGGTTCTCTGCCCTTTCACAATCCCGTGCTACCCCTCCCTGCCAGCATCTTATTTCTTCCCAGTGCAATGGAGAAGGGGTTTCAGTTGGGACTCTTACAAATAATTGAAACCCAACTCAAGGAGAGTGATTTGTTATTTTGTCACTTAAATAATCAATCTGTGGGGAAGGCAGGGACAGAAATGGCATAATGGAGAAATGTCACCAGGGGCTCAAAAGTCACCAGAGCTCTCCACCTTTCATCTCTACTGTGTATTTTGAGTCAGCTTAACTCTCCTACTGCAGCCAGCTGAGGGGAGGGGTGGGAGCGAGGGGAGGAATGTACCAGAACACAGCAGCTGGAGGCTCCAGACCCACACACGCTAACAACCCTGACACCAGACAGGGGAGAAAATGTGCTTCCCTCTAACTCCAATTTAAAGAACACCAGAAATAGTTCTGATTGGCCCAAAGTTAAGGTCATGTGGCTGCTGCTTGGACCAATTTCTACAGCCAAGAGGATGCGCTATGATGATCGGCAGCTCCTCTAGAATCCCAGTATTGGAGTGGAAATGAAGTAGTTAGTTGCCAAAAAGAGCAGAATGGCTAGAACACATGGGGTGTCTGGAAGAACTGCTGAATCTCAGGCAAACTACTCCGATCAGTGGCTACGGCAGAGGAGCTCTTCCTTTCGGAGGGATGGGAAGGAAGCTCCAGAGCCTGCAACTCAGCAGAAGGTACCCCTAGACTCTGGCCACCCCTTCCCACAAGCCTGGCTTCACATTAGGGTTCATCCTCCTTCCTGAAGCCTTTTCCCTGTCTATGTCCCCCGAAAGCTCTCCTTTTCTCATTTGACTCTCACAGAATGAAAGGCACCTCTTGCCTCACAGCTCTCTTGATAAACCTTCTCTGTGGTTTCTCATATTCAGTCCCAGCCCTCTGTTCCAGCCAAGCTGAGGACCCAGCTGACACACCAGGTAACGTCACCCATGACACAGGCTTTGGGGTCCCTAGTCCAAATGGAAGCTCTAAAGTCTTGTTGCTCAAAGTGTGGTCTGCTGGCCAGCAATATGGGCATCACCCAGGAAGCTTGTTAGAAATGCAAAATCTGACCAGGCACCATAGCTTACACCTGCAACCCCAGCACTTTGGGAGGCTGAGGCAGGTGGATTACTTGAGGCCAGGAGTTCAAGACCAGCCTGGCCAACAAAGTGAAACCCCGTCTCTACTAAAAGCAGAAAAAATTAACTGGGCCTGGTGGCGCATGCCTGTAATCCCAGCTACTCGGGAAACTGAGGCATGAGAATTGGTTTAACCTGGGAGGTGGAGATTGCAGTGAGCCAAGATCACGCCACTGTACTATAGCCTGGTGACAGGGTAAGACTCTGTCTCAAAAAAAAAAAAAAAAATACAGAATCTTGGGCACCACCCCAGAATACTGATTTCAAACCTGTATTTTGACAAGATCCATAAGTGATCCATTTGTCCATTAAAGTTTGAAAAGGAAGGTGACATAGAAACAAAAATCAAGACAGACACCTTAGAGATGGTCACCAGAGCTAGGAGAGGACTCCCATACCCTTACTATCTACCTAAGTAATTTCTTCTTAACTCCTATATCAAAATGGGCTACACGATGTACCCCACAGGCAGGGTTGACATTCACCCCATGTGCCACACCAGCCCTCACAGTATATCCATTCAGCATTCCACGCCAGCCCTCACAGTGCATCCACCACACCAGTGTTCACCACACTGATTGCCTAAGCCCTGGCCATTACAATTGCTACGTATTTTTCATATCATACTTTCCAAAAAGGAGATTGCTCCAGGTTGTACACCTGCCTCTAATCATGCTGCTCCCTTCACGAAGAATACCCTCCCACTCATCAAAATATTGAATCCTTATTCAAGACCCACCTCAGTCCTGCCACCTTCATGAGTTCCTCTCTGCTTCCCTAACCAGAGTCATCTCCGCTCAACTCTGTGCTTTCCTCATATGTTTCATGGGACACTTGGCAAAGCTGGCCTTACATTATTGGTTTACACATGCACCCGACTCCCCAGCTAGACAGGGTGCTCCTCCAGGACCAGGTCTAGCTTATCTTTGTATTTCCCCAGATTACCTGTCATGATGCTTTTCATGGTTTATCCCATACGACCAAAGAGTTGCTAAGTCTGTCACATGTCATATTTAATATTTATCAAATGAGTGAATAAATGAATGTTTGAAAGGAAGGAGGAAGGAAGAGTGGAATGGAACCCCCCAGTCCCTAAGGGAAGACAGGAAAAAACAGTCTCCTTCAGTTCTCTAGGCCTCATCTAATGCAGGCATCAAGCAGGCTGGGGCCTTGCAGCCAGGCAGGAGAGAGGTGGGGTTGGTACACTTTCATCAGCCGTGTACCATGTGTTCCAGAACCCACAGCTGACCACACACTATACCGCATGCTTCCCCAAGGATATGAGAAGCTGGACCCTCCCACCGGGCCTGCCAGGCCACAGCCCAGGCCCACTTCAGACAGCAGCTCTGACAGCAACACCACAACTGAGGAGGATGACGACAGGCCTGAGATGCACAAGTCCATCAATGGGAGAGACAGGGTGTATAACCAGGTCACCCAGGAGGGTGCCGAACATGACTCAGCCCCAGAGGCCAAAGCAGACTATAATCTCGTCACTCCGTACGTCACAGAAGTTGAGTCTGTGGTTGGAGAGAACACAGTATATGCACAAGTGTCCTTCAACTTACAGGTGAGCCCTTCTGATCAATACAGTTTCCTTCTTCTCCCATGTCTAGGGGCATCCAAGCTCATGATGACTAATTCCCCCAAACTGGGGGCTGGGGCCTGGAAACAGGACTAGGGGCATATGGACAGGGACTCATGGCTGTGTCCATGTTTAACAAACTTTGGGATCGTGTGGAACAAGGGATTTGTCCCTCTACTCTCATTCTTAGGCCAGTAATAAAGAAGGTGTTGGAATCAGAGGCACTGTCTCCACTGCACTAAGGCAGCTCCCACTCTCCACGTGAGACGGGAAGCTGGGGGCGTCCCCTCTCCTCCAGGGTTGAAGGTAAAACTGAAAAGCTCTCAGGTAGTCATTAGGGCTCATCTGCTGTTGGTCTGTTATAGGGAAAGACCCCGGCTTCTCAGAAGGAAGAGAGCTCAGCCACAATCTACTTGTCCATACAGAAACCTCAGACGGTGAGAACAACTTTCTCTGTATCCCAAGGCCCACAGAGTGAGGAACTATTTTTTAGACCCTTTGAAGTGGAAATCCTAGATTCCCATGGCTGAGGATCTTAAATTCTACCCACTATGCACTCTCCAGATACATTCTGTGGTCAACAGAGATGGGTAAACAAATGTTCCTGATGTCTGTGTGACCAAAGGCTGAACATTCGAATTAATTTAATAATATCTCATGTAGGAGCCGGGTGCCGTGGCTCAAGCCTGTAATCCCAGCACTTTGGGAGGCCGAGGCGGGTGGATCACGAGGTCAAGAGATCGAGACCAACCTGGTCAACATGGTGAAACCCCATCTCTACTAAAAATACAAAAAATTAGCTGGGCATGGCGGCACGTGCCTGTAATCCCAGCTACTCAAGAGGCTGAGGTAGGAGAATTGCCTGAACCCAGGAGGCGGAGGTTGCGGTGAGCCGAGATCGTGCCATTGCACTCCAGCCTGGGTAACAACAGGCTGGAGTTTTTTGAAACTCCATCTCAAAAAAAAAAAAAGTAATAATATCTCATGTTGGTTATTTTCAACACTGACCTGAATAACAGGTTATAAACTCAAACAAGGTAGGGTCTGGTAGATTTCCAACTCTATCTCTAACCCTAATCCCAATCTACATAAATGGCAACTTCTCAAAACCATTGAAAATTAGCCAACAATTTAACATCAAGAATTTTTGGAAAATAAGCCATTACCTACAATACATTGGTTTTATTCTAGTGTTTAAACAATTTCCAGCCTGGGCAACATGGTGAAACCCCGTTTTTATAAAAAATTCTAAAAAATTACCCGGGCATGCTGGTGCACACCTGTAGTCCTGGCTACTTGGGACGCTGAGGTAAGAGGATTGCTTGAGCTGGGGAATTTGAGGTTGCAGTGAGCCAAGATCATGCCACTGAACTCCATCCTAGGTGACAGAGGTAGACCATGTCTCAAAAAAAAAAAAAAAAATCCCTCACAGGTAGAATTTACCATTAAATAATCATAATGATAATAATAACTAACCTACTTTAATATAAAGTCTTACAGATACGATACATTGACATACATTCTCCTCTGATCTTTGTATTACCGCTAGAAAAGTCTTGTTAACCACATTTTATAGGTGAAGAAGCTGCGATTCAAAGAAGTGAATTTTGCCTAAGGTCACATAGATAGAAGTTGGAAGTTCCAGTATTGAGAACCATGAGGAGTTTTAAGATAATCCTGAGTAATCTTAAATAATTCATCTTGATCTGACTAACTGTCCACTCAATTTTCACTTTCCTGAAAACATAGGGTCCATTCACACTTTTGCTTTCAAATGTCCCCCAAATTCCCTTCCTGTAACATAGTCCAAAAAAGTTAAAAAAAAAAAAAAAAAAAAAACCCTCAGCAAGCGTAGTGGCTCACGCCTGTAATCTCAACACTTTGGGAGGTTGAGGTGGGTGGATCACTTGAGGTCAGGAGTTCAAGACCAGCCTGGCCAACAAGGTGAAACCCCATCTTTACTAAAACTATAAAAATTAGCTGGGCATGGTGGTGGGCACCTGTAATCCCAGCTACTTGGGAGGCTGAGGCAGAAGAATTGCTTGAACCTGAGAGGTGGAGGTTTACAGTGAGCCAAGATGGCACCATTGCCTGGGCACCATTGTTACCCAGCCTGGGCAACAGGAGGGAAACTCCATCTCAAAAAAAAAAAAAAGAAAGAAAAGAAAACACTACAGTTGAGCCTTGAACAATGCAGGGGTTTAGGGATGCCGACCCCACCCCATGCAGTCAAAAATCATTATATAACGTTGGCTCTCCATAACTTAAGTACTAATAGCCTACTGTTGACCAGAAGCCTTACCAAAGACATAAACATTCGATTAACACATATTTTACATGTTATATGTATTATATACTGTATTTTTACAATAAAGTAAGCTAGAGAAAATAAATTATTAAGAAAAACATAAGGAAGATAAATATGTTTACTATTCATTAAGTGGAATTGGATCATAGTAAAGGTCTTCATCTTCACCTTCACTTTGAGTAGGCTGAGGAGGAAGAGGAAGGGTTGGCCTTGCTCTCTCAAGAGTGGTAGAGGAAAAGAGGTAGAGGAGGTAAAAAGGGAGGCAGAGAGGCAGGCACACTCAGTATAATGTTTATTGAAAAAAATCCATGTATAAGTGGCCATGCAGTTCAAACATGTTTCATTTATGCCTAGTGTTCCATTATTGGAACGCTAAGCATGTAGGAATTATTTTATATCCTACTGCTCGAGGTCATTGCCAAGGTCTGATTTTTCAGTCATGCAAAAATTAAAAAAATTGCAACCTCCTGCAGAAATGGGTTAAGGGTCAACTGCACTTGACTACTTAATAAATTGTATGCACAGTTCCTAAGAGCTTTTTCAGACATTGAAGGCGGGGGATATCATTGCACTGTGGTAAAGAGGAAAGACTTCGTAAAAAAGGAATTTGGATTGGGCCTTTAAAGATGGATAGAATTTGCTCAGTAAACACTTGGTGGAATGCGCAGTTTAGTTCAACCATTGCCTCATCCTGACTTCTAGATAGTAGTCTAATACTTAGCCAGCTAGAGACTTTGCCTTGGAACCTGAGGCCAAATCTGTGCTGTTCACAGCATTCCCAGAACTGCTTTCTACCCTGGCCTGGCCCTTTGTGTTTGGCTCAGACTTAAAGTCACGAATGTCAGTCCCTGCTCTGAGTTTCAGAATGGCCACCACATGGCTAGTCAGTCCCGCAAAGCACCCACACTACCCTGGAGACTTGAGACCCCCGAAACCACCTCCCCTATAGTGTAAGTGGAAATCAATGCATTTCTTGAGCCAACTCTTGACAAATACATCCCTTGTCTTCAGAATTGTCAGGACCAGGAATTTGGGTTCTGGATCTCTTTTTCTTTTTTTTTTTTTTGAGACTGAGTTTCGCTCTTGTTACCCAGGCTGGAGTGCAATGGCGCCATCTCGGCTCACCGCAACCCCCATCTCCTGGTTCAAGCAATTCTCCTGCCTCAGCCTCCCAAGTAGCTGGGACCACAGGCGCGCACCACCATGCCCAGCTAATTTTTGTATTTTTAGTAGAGACGGGGTTTCACCATGTTGACCAGGATGGTCTCAATCTCTTGACCTTGTGATCCACCCGTCTCAGCCTCCCAAAGTGCTGGGATTATAGGTGTAAGCCACTGCGCCCGGCCTGGTTCTGGATCTCTGAAGGCCATTATTGCCTACTTGATCCGGAAATTCTCAAACCTACTTTAGTTGTTTCTGATATACCCCTCTGCACAGTATCTCAAAGGTTTATGCTATCCCCAAGCTGTTGCTAGTACCTAACCTCCCACTCCTCTGGGTCAGCACAGAGCTGGTCTGCTCTTTAGAGCATTCCCTGAACACTCTCAGACAGGGGAGCCCAAGAACCCTTGGAAAAGCTTGGGGTCTAATGGTCTGGACCATTGCTTTGGAACTTAACCTCTGCCATCTACATTATTTTCATATAAATGTTTGTTTTGTTTCTTCAGCTAGGGCAGAGATTGGAATCATTTGACAGTGGCTTCAGAGAGCAAGGCCCTTCCTTGATTGTCATTTTTGTATCCCCTGGATTTGTTGCACTAAACTGTCTCGTATTGGCCTTGCAGAGAGTCCAGCCCCCTGCCTTTCTCATTAGGAGCCTCCGTAAATGCTTGGCTCAATCAATCAATCAGGTTGGTCGATTGTGCCATTCCTGGGCCACCACACAGGATTCTTCCTCTGTGGGATGGACCGGTCATAGCTCGGCCTTGCCTTCCTCTTTCATCAGCCTCATTCTTCCAAGGCTTTATTAATCATATTCTCACGTGGGTTTTTTTTTTTTTTTCTCACAGGTGGTGCCACCACCACAACAGGATGATCTTAAGATTCCTGAAAGTCCTACCTATGAAAATTCCACCTGAAAGGAAAAGCAGCTGCTGCCTCTCTCCTGGGACCCTGGGGTTGGAGAGTTGGCTGGACCTCACGGGGTCTGGGGCTCGCAGACAGAAGCGCCTCGGATTTTCCTTCAGTGTCTCAGAGATGCCTAGATGTGGCCCCTCCCCGTCCTTCTCACACTCAAGGCCTCCCAAGCCCATTAATAATTCGAACACAGGCTCCTTCTTGGAGTTTACGGGCTTCCAATGTCTTTGCCCTATTTGTGTCCTCGCACATTCATAGCGTTTCCTCCTTGAAACTCTGCCAAGGCTGGTCAAATGTTGCTGAGGGGCCTGTGCCAGCTGTCCTTTACACCATCTTCTCAACACTGCTGAAATGAACACAAGAGAACTGTCACACATGACACAAGACGTACGTAAAATCATGCTCACTGCAGTGTTATTCAAAATAAAAGGCAGGAAATAACCTAAACGTCCATTCAGTGAGAATCCAGTTACATATACGATTGTATACCACTGCAATGGCAAACCCTGCCACTGGAAAAGAAAGCAAAGACTCATGGGTGCTAATATGGAAGGGGCTCTAAGACACATTGTGGAGTGGAAAAAAAGAAAGTTCAGGACCATGTGTATTGTATGCTACCAGTTGGGTTAAAAAAAAAAAAAAATGCATGTTGGCCAGGCACAGTGGCTCACGCCTGTAACCCCAGTACTTTGGGGGGCTGAGGCGGGCAGTTCACTTGAGGTCAGGAGTTCAAGACCAGCCTGGCCAACATGGTGAAACTCTGTCTCTAATAAAAATACAAAAAATATTAACTGGGCGTGGTGGTGTGTGCCTGTAATCCCAACTCCTCAGGAGGCTGAGGCAGGAGAATCACTTGAACCTGGGAGGTGGAAGTTGCAGTGAGCAGAGATCATGTCACTGCATTCCAGCCTTGGCAACAGGGCAAGACTTTGTCTCAAGAAAAAAAAAAAAAAGAAAGAAAGAAAAGAAAAAATGTACATATACATGCTTACACAGCCATAGAAAAACTTTGGAAATAAATACAAAACATTAGTGGCTGCCTCTAGGGAGACACCGGGAATCTCAAGTTGGGAAAGAGACATTTTTTACTGCACAATTTTTGCACTGCTGGAGTTTTTAAACCATATGTGTGTTTTAAAAATTCTTTCACTATTTCATAAAGGTTCTTAAAATGTTTAAAAACTCTTTCACTCTTTCATAAAGGTGCTTAAAACGCCTGTTTCAAATAAGTTTCCCATATTTACCCAAAAGGACTTCCCTCCTTATTGCCCAGTCTGGATACAGAATACCCACAGTATCTCTCTTCACCTGCCCTCTCACCTGCCTGTGAGATGCACTATACTTGACATATTCGTGATACTCTAGCGTACATTTCTGTTACCATCACCTTGCAGCCCATCCAGGTCATTTAACGGTGTACTTCTTCCGTCATGCTCTCCTGCACATGGGCCTGGAGTCAGTCTGGCTTCTGTCCCCTGCAGTGAGTACTCCCAGGGGTTCAGGCAGTGTTTCATACACAGAAAGAGCTTAATTACTGCTTGTTCATTGACTGGCTTGTTGCATGGATAATTATCTTTGTGAGGCATTATTATGGAAGCTCAACAATCAGACACATAACATGATGGTGTTGTACATCTTACATTCTAGAACACAGCATCTTCAAAAGCCCTGGCCCATAGGGTCTCTTCTCCTCCTTAAATAAAGCTGGCCAGTTCAAGATCTATGCAGGACACAGGAAAGGCCAGTAACAGTCAATAGTCAGTGTCCCTGGTGTTCATCTGGACTGTTTCTGACCCCAGTCATTTCCTGTTGCCTCTACTCACTGAATTCCTTGACTCTGCAACTCAACTACCGGTACCTGCCTCGGACCCCCAGACTCCTTCCGAATGTATTTCCCTGGTTTTTAATCTTCACACTTGCTTTAAGATGTTGTCTGTCCACACTTCGCTCCAGGAGGAAGTCAGCCTGGCCAGCAGCACAGCCTAAGGGAAGAGGGATCCTGCAGGGTGTGAGCAAGCGCGTGCCTTGGCTCTCCTTCACAAGGTGGAGTGGCCCCTGGTGTCTGGTACTCTGCTGTCCCAGTGGGAACAGGGCTGAAGGACACTGCCAGCTCACCAGGAAGCCAGACCTTCTGCAGCAGTATTCAAACAGACATGTGTTTATGGATGGCCCACAAGTGCCCTTTGGCTGCTATAGAGAATAAAAATGCAGGGTATGGAGAGGATACGCAAATTTAATTTAGGCAAGAAATTCAGGCTGCATCTGCATGATACCACAGTTTTATATGAAACTCACATGTTAGATACAGGGTAGGCAATTGAAGAACTAGGCTCTGTGCAGTATCACCTGTTGGGGTCTCTGAGTATGTCCTCTCTCAGTTCGCCCTGTCCTGGGCTCAGCCAGAGTCTCAGCCCTTCTCCCCACATCCTTGTTGAAGTGTCTGGCCTGAGCCCAGCATAGTGGCTAGATTCCAACTGCCCCATGTTCATCCCTCAGCTGTCTGAGCCTTCCCTTCAGTGTGCACCATGGGGCACAATCACGAGGACTCAGAGCTTAAATAGAACATGGCTTCTGAGAGGAATCTTCCTCTGGGAAGCCACTTCTATGAAGAAGCCAAAATGGATTTCTAACAATGTGTCTTTGTAAATCAAACATCATACCATGGACAAAGCTGGTCTCAGCACCCAGTTACCAGGTCCGCATGTGCTCTGGGTAGTTTCTCTACTCAGAGATGGGCTTGCTTTGCACCATCACCCTCCCTTCTGCCCACTCCCCCTGGTGGCCAGCTGACCAGACGTAAAGGTGTGAGATGCACGGGGAAAGGTTTTTCTCTGCGACTGAGTACAGCTCAGGCCCTGGCCCCCATGCAGAACCCGCCAGCTAGCTCACAGCCAGATAGTCCAGGCTGTCAGAGGAGGGCTGTTTCCTCTCCTGAAGAGTCACCATTATCTTTCCTTCCTCTTGTTTTGGAAGATGGGCCTGGGCCTGGGGAAAGTCTAGAAATGCAGTCAGTCCAGATTGGGGAGAAAAGAAGACAAGAAACAGCCTGAAAATCAGGTGGAGGGAATCTCAATGCCAATAACACCACTTATATAGCACTTCCTAGACCACAGATACTTGTAATGTGGCCTTTTGTGAACAACCTAACCCCTCCACCATCCATGTCTGATCTGTAAATTGGAAGACATTCTTTAACAGCCTTGCTCTTAGAATGGCTGTTAGACATCATTTTCAAAACAAAATATAGAATGAGAACAAATTTCCATATCCTCTTCAGACTAGGAACTGTTCTATAGAGACTCCTGTGCCATCATCCACTGTGCCAATTCCCAAAGCAGATGCTGAGAAAAGTAAGAATAGCTGCAGCAACTAGGAATACACGTCAAAGTTCTCCAGTTCTTTGCGGCTCAATCGAGCAGGGTTCCGAGCTTTAGGTTGACTCACTCTAATCTGCAAAAGAAAAGGAAAAACTTCAGACCCTCCCAGTGGGAGGTCCTTACAACTATCCTGTGGGGGATGAATTATTGCCATCCCCATTTTATGAATTTAAAAAATGAAGCTCACAGTGGTAAAACAAATTACTCAGAGTCCGTGAGTAGTGGGAAGTGCAGGAGGGACTTGAATTCTTCTGGCTCCAATTCCAGTGCTCTCTTAATGGCACATGCTTTTTCATGACCTCCCAAACTGCCTGGGTCTACACAGTGCCCTCTGTGACCCTAGGCTGTCTAGCTGGCTTCAATGTTGGGTGATAGCCAGGAACATCGGAAGTGCCAGGAATCCCAGCAGGCAGCCACCCACCCTTCCCTTGTGACCAATGGCAGCAGCTTTACTGGACCACAGGTGGGGAGGCTCAGTTGTAGTATGAGGCTAATGGGTAGAGAGGGGGTTGGGGGATGCTTTCCATGCCTTAATTTCTTTGAGTATAAATGGAAAGTCTAATTATACCTATCTTGTAGCATTCTGTGAGGATTACATGAAACAATCCATGTGAAGACACTGGAGGGCTACATTATCCATAATAAACCCCCAAGAAATGTTGACTCCCTCCTTTCCAGTCCCCAAATGCCCTGATGGGAACAAATTCAGCCACCAGGCTCAGTGGTCATCTTTGAACAGCGTCCACCCCTTCAGAAGATGAAGATCACCTATGTCCTGGAATGGCTCCCAAAGACTTGCTAAATTTAGAAAATGGTTTAGAGTCCTTTATCTTCCCCTCTTTGACCCCTCCCCCAACCATTCCTGGAAAGCAGAGATATTTGTGTCCCACAGCTGGGGAACTCACTTGGAGACAGCCCTAACTGAGAAGCCAAGCTGACCAATAAGCATCATATCTAAACACACAATATAACCTTGGGATAGACCCTAATTCTCCTTGGCCTTTACTGTCTTCATCTCTAAAACAAAGACTTGCATTGGAAGATCTCTAAATTCCCTACAACACTGAGACGTGTGGATGACATTTTCCTAAGCATATCCTTTCATGGCTAGATTTCAGGGCTGTGCCACAGACACGAAACCCATTGAGGTGTTCCAGATCTTACCTCTTCATGCACAGTTCTATTGAAGGAAGGGCTGTGGTTCCTCTTCCTGGATCCAGACTAGAAATTCAGAGGGTAAAGAATGTTTAACTTCAAGGTAAGCACTCTCCCACTCCTAAGTGATGCGAGAGGTCCCAAAAGAGACTCAGAGCCTAGAAAAATTCTGAGGTACCCTCAGCCGGAAAATGAATAGAATTTCTCACCCCAGAAGCAAACAATGGTGTATGTGATCTCCAGGGGAGACACAATATACAGTACTTTCCTGTAATATGATGTTTTTGAACCAAAATCAGAATTTAGCGTTCCATACCCACATACACCTAAAACCCATGCATATATGTGTGTGTGTATATATATATATACATATACACACATATTCCCCCAGTGCATGAACACACAAACACATATCCCTCAGGCAATCCTAATACAAATGCTGCCCCAAACCATGTATCTCTTCAACACATGGCACACACACACCCCAGTGTAAACAATTCAGGCATATAATAAATAATTGCAAACCCAAGGACACTAGACTTCAGAGGCACATTCTAGAGTTTTCATATCCCAAAGCCCGTGAACATGGTGACTGTGAACATCTATATGGCCTGATATTGGAGCATACAATTAAAAATAAATCTCTCTCATGACGGGATCCAAGTAGGGTGAATGTCTTATTGGAAGGAGGTTGAATGAAAAGTCTGAAAATCTGTCCTAAACCCTTCAAACCTGTGGTCCCTGATCTGCATGGGCTTCCACAGTTGTGTGGACTCCCAACTTCCCGTGCTGCCATGTTAAGGCTTTATGGCTTCATACTGTGGCTCCAGCCTTGGGAACACCACTCCTCCCATCCCCTTCTACACCAGAGAAAAACAATGACCATGGGTTCCAGGTTACCCAACTCTGGTTCCAAGTACAAAGAGAGCTATGAGCTCAGCCTGGAGGAGGATTTCAGTACACCAGGAGGGGCTGCCCCATTCTAGAGGCCTCTAGCAGCAGGTGACTGACTGGCCAGAACCTCTGTCTGGTCCCTGAAAGTCAGCATTGTGTCTCTCTCGATGCAGTGCATTCCTCCAGCTCCAGGCAATATGCCCTGCTTTGCAAAGCCCTCCAGTATCTCTCACCACAGCCTCAGCTGACCTACTAAGTACCCTATAGTCTCTCTGCGCAAAGCACCTCCTTTCTATCTCTGATTGTCCTTTATCTCCCACAGAAACTCCAAAAAGTCATTTAATCTGTTCTTTTTTTGTTTGTTTGTTTGTTTTTTTGTTTGTTTTGAGACGGAGTTTCACTGTTGTTACCCAGACTGGAGTGCAATGTCACGATCTCGGCTCACGGCAACCTCCGCCTTCTGGGTTCAGGCAATTCTCCTGTCTCAGCCTCCCGAGTAGCTGGGATTACAGGCGCGCGCCACCATGCCCAGCTAATTTTTTGTATTTTTAGTAGAGACGGGGTTTCACCTCATTGACCAGGATGGTTTCGATCTCTTGACCACGTGATCCACTCGCCTTGGCCTCCCACAGTGCTGGGATTATAGGCCTGAGTCACCGCGACCAGCCCTAATCTGTTCTCTTAGTCTAGAAACTGTTATTTGTCTCCAGACAGACCCAGAAAAGCATTTCTCATTGGCCCATTGACATTTAAATACAGTCATTTAACAGATGCTACTCAGATACACACAATGAAGAACAACTGGCTAGGATGTGCACACACGCTCTCTGCAAACACATGCAAAATACATCTGCATCAATGCATCCCACCACCACCACAGGAAGAGACTCACCTTCCTGGAAGGCTGAACTAATGAATATAATGTAAATGCAGATTCTTGTGATGTGGAAGTAGAAGTCTAATGAGAAGAGAAATAAAACCATTTCAGAAGCACAGATCCAGCACAACCCTATGAAAGTCATCTCTTCCATCCCTCCACCCTAAGCCTGCCCAGATGGAAGCTTCAAGTTTTGGTGAGAAGAGCCCTGGACCAGCCAGGAGGTCAGACAACTTGAGTGCTAATCTTGCTGTCTCATTCATGATAGGATTTCATGATGCTTGTTGAGGATTTATTTTATATGGGTATTCTCCTCTAACTTTTTTTTGAAAACGGAGTCTCACTGTATTGTCCATGCTGGAGTGCCAGGGCTCAATCTCAGGTCACTGCAACCTCCGACTCCTGGGTTCAAGCGATTCTCCTGCCTCAGCCTCCTGAGTGCTGGGATTACAGGCACCCACCACCACGCCCCAGCTAATTTTTGTATTTTTAGTGGAGACAGGGTTCACCATGTTGGCCTGGCTGGTTTCAAGCTACTGACCTCGTGATCCTCCTACCTCAGCCTCCCAAAGTGCTGGGATTACAGGCGTGAGACACCGCATCTGGGCTCTCCTCTAACTCTTTTAACACTCCTATCAAATAAGAATGATCATAATTTGTTCCATGCCACAAATGAGGCTCCAAAAGGATAAAAAGCCAAGTCACGCAGTGTGTAGAAGCAGAATTCAAACCCAAGACTCTCCTGGGCTCTTTCCTCAACACCTCAATGCCGCTCTTTGACAACGTGCCTTCCTTCCCTGGACCTGAACCAGGTGTCCTCTATCAGGTAACAATCCTCCTTTTAAGATGCTCCGGAGGAGGACGCTCATTCTCACTCAACACCATAGTCTGAGAGGAGCCCTTTCTTGCACTGATTCAAATTCCTCTCGTTGGCGTTCAATGTGGCTAAAATCAGAGAACTGGCGGATATCAATTACTTTTATAATCAGATTTTCTTTGCCCCGCAGCTCAACCACCAAACTGAAGATGGTGCTGTTTCGGCTCAATTTTTTTTAAGCCATTTTTATCAGAAAGTTTTTTATTACCGGCCACCAGGAGGCAGTGTTTCCCTTGGGAGCGATGTCCCAGCCTGGGCTATCAATGTCATTTTAGCTGTCAGTATTAGAGGATGTTTCTCCAGTTTATCGATGAATTTCTGTAATCCTAGAATATTAGAGGTGGAGTATGAAGAAGGGCAGTGGAGACTCAACAATCCTTTGGCTCAGCTTTACCACTACCTAGCTATGTGGCCTTGAGATATCAGTTGGCCTGAGTCTCAGTTTCATCATTGTGATATGGAATGTAGACCGTATGTAAAGTATTAGAACTATTTCATGAGGCTGTTTTGTAAGATTTAGTAAGAAAATACAATCAGGCACAGTGGCGCATACCTGTAGTCCTACCTACCCCAGGAGGCTGAGGTAGAAGGATCACTTAAGGCCGGGAAGTCCAGGCTGTAGTAATCTATGATTCTACCACTGCACTTAGCCAAGTAGAGAAAATGAGACCCTGTCTCGTGATGGCTGCACCAAAATCTCACAAATCACTGCTAAAGAACTTACTCATGTAACCAAATACCACCTGTTCCCAAAAAAACCTATGGAAATAAGTTTGTGCATGATGGCTCACACCTGTAATCCCCAGCATTTTGGGAGGCTGAGGCGGGCAGATCACAAGGTCAGGAGTTCGAGACCAGCCTGGCCAACATGGTGAAACCCGCGTCTACTAAAAAAAAAAAATAGAAAAAATTAGCTAGGCATGGTGGCACGTGCCTGTAATCCCAACTACTCGGAAGGCTGAGACTGGAGAATAGCTTGAATCCAGGAAGCAGAGGTTGCAGTGAGCTGAGATTGTGCCATTGGACTCCAGCCTGGGTGACAGAGTAAGACGCCTTCTCAAGAAAATAATAATAATAAAAATAAATAAAGAGACCTTGTCTCTAAACAATAAATTTTTTTAAAGAAGAAAAGAAAATGGACATTATTGCTAAGTCATGATAAGATAAAAGGGACCAATCCATACAGATTCATCCTTTCCTGAAACTGAATATAACAGGGAATAGGGATAAAAAGTATAAGGTTGCCAAGTGTGGGAAGCAGCAGCAGGGCGAGAAAGCAGACAGCGAGTCCCCTAACCAGGTTTCTGCTCCCACAGACTTTATCTGGGCCAGACCTTGCACCAGGCACAGACGAAGGAATGCCCACCTCAGGCTTCCCAGCTGTGTTAAGATGCTCCAGAACCACACTGATCTTTTCCAATAATGTGTGAATGCAGTTGAACCCAAGCTGTCTTCTGGATTCCAGGAGCACAAAGATCTTATTCTGCCATTCAAGGGTGTGAGTTTTGTGGGGGAGCATTAGGAAGCCCCAGAGATAGGTACAGAATGGACTGGAGAAGGCGGAGAGGTACCTGGGACTGGATCATAGAGTAGATGGAGGTCCCCTCTCCAAGAAAAGTCTGCTCCTGCACCTGCACAAGAAATAGAAATGGGGCAACATGAGCAGACATCTGGGTCTGTGCAGATTTAGACTGAGCAGGGGAAAACAGCACAAAGAAGAGAGGCTTTCAGGAGGCTGGGAGGGAGGTGGCAGGACTGAGGAGAGTCATTGACCCTCCCAGGATGGGGAGAGACAGGAAGAAGAGCAGTCTGCAGTGAAGCCGTCAGTATCGGGAGCAAGGGACCACCTAGGTGTGAGGGATCCCAGCAACCCTGCCCAGCGAGAATGCTGCCACTGCCTTTCCTTTAGTGACTTAGAAACCCTTCCTTGCAGAGCTCTGAGTCGGGCTGTTATCTGAGCCTTTCCTCAGAGCACTGAAATTCAGGTTTAAACATTTCAAAGACCAAACACAGTTAAGCCTTCTCTAGATCATCTTCGAGGCCACCTTGCCCTTGGCTTCAAGCCAGTCCCCTGGGAAGCTACAGTGCTGGGTGCAGCCTTGAACCCAAGGGCCAAAGCAGGGAGCAGCTCTTTGTGCTCCCCTTTCCTTGTTCCTGCCCCTTAGGAAATCAGTGGTGGAGGTATTTCATGCTGCTGGCCGCTTCTCAGTGAGCATATTGCTAGTTTGAGCTCTAATGGGAGCCAGTGGAGGCCAGCAGGGCTCGTCAGGCAAGGTGCAAGCTATGCTCCTAAGCAAGAAGCTAAGAGGAGCAGAGAACTGTCAGCTGTCCTTAGAGGCTGGAGAGTCATGAGCATCTGACCATGTCAATAACTTTATTTGTGTTTTAAAATACTTTTCTCTCCTGTCCAGACTCATGTGAAGTGTTTCTAGAAATATTAGAGCTGGGTCTCAAAGTGAGACCTCCAAATTGGAACCCTGAGACAATAAAGAGAGAGCTGAGGCCAGACAGGGAGGAACCCTTGAGTCAGAAGTAAGCTAATAGGCCTGAATCCCCAGAGGTTTCTTTTGCTCTAAGTCATTTTTTCCCCTCATGGTCTCCTAATCTCAAGCCATCTTCTTTTTGGGAAAAAAAAAAAAAAAAAAGATTATTTGTAGCAGGCACCCGGGCATCATTGGCTCTGGGTAGATTCACATGCTCTCAGGAATTTGTACCAGAGTCTTGTAGCAGTGAGAGAAAAAAAGTATCCTTTTATTTTTCACATCCCAATAGCCACTGCTAGGGGGAAAAGAAAAAAAAAACAGGCATAGGAAGCTGCCCTAACTGCCTCTGAACCCGGCCAGACCTGGGAGAGGATGCTTGTCTGCTCTGTGAGGCCATATGGGGCCTCACGCACATGGCCAGGGCGGAAGAGCTCCCCAACACGTGCTTCCTGCGTGGTGCTGGGTCTCCACAGCAGAGCACCGGGAGCAGTGCAAAGAAGACACTTCTGCCCACTTCACCACCCCTTCCTGCCAGCAGTTCTGTGGGCCCCATCAGAGCTTCCCCTGGGCCTGTCACCACATCCTGCCGGGAGCAGGACACAGCAGCAGGGCCATCTGCAGCCCCTCTGCAATTGCCTCCTCTCCTAATTCTTGGATGACAGGTGGAGTTGGCCACTGCCTGCCACAGAGAGCTGGCGAGAGGCTCCTGGAGGAGTACACGCAGGCTGATGGGCTTTGTGCCAGGCTGGTTACTCTCTCTAGTACCTCAGCCACGCTCGGGCCTCTTCTCTCAAAAGGCTGTGAATGCAGCCCAGTGAGCTAGCTACAAAACTGTTATACTTTTGCTGGTCACACTTCCCAGCCTGGGTCACCATAAAGGGACTCAAGAAAGTAAGCCCTGACTCATTAGGAAAAAGAATTTGTGATCTGACAACAAATACCACAGCAGCACGCTGCCTCTGCCACTGATTCTCTTCTCAGCAGGTGCAATTCTGCACCAAGATGCCCCTTCAGCCTCCCTTTCATCTTCTCTGCTCCTTTTGTTTCCTCTTTTCCTCCATCACCATAACTAGGAAGCAGGCGGAGAAAAGATAGATGGGGAAGGGCTGAGGGTCACATCAAGAGGACAATTGTGCAGTCATTTTTGTCCCTCAGCTCTGAATAACCATCACTGAAAGAGCATCTTCCAGGCCATTTGAGAGAGACCCCAGCCCCCGGGATGCCATACTTGATTCCTCCAGGTTTTCTGGTCCTTGACATCTTCATAAATTGTCAAAAACTCCTTGGTGCTGGTCTCTGAGGGAGGAAGAAAACAAAGAGCAGAGCTGCAGAAACCTCCAGAAGGGCTTTTGCTTCTAACAGGTCCCACCTCCGCCCCAAATGGCAAAATCTTAAGAAAGGTTCCAGAAAGGAGGCAGGTTAGCGCTTTTTTTTTTTTTTTAGACGGAGTTTCGGTCTTGTTACCCAGGCTGGAGTGCAATGGTGCAATCTCGGCTCACCGCAACCTCCGCCTCTTGGGTTCAGGCAATTCTGCCTCAGTCTCCCGAGTAGCTAGGACTACAGGCACGCGCCACCATGCCCAGCTAATTTTTTGTATTTTACGGGGTTTCACCACGTTGACCAGGGTGGTCTCGATCTCTTGACCTCGTGATCCACCCGCCTCGGCCTCCCAAAGTGTTGGGATTACAGACTTGAGCCACCGTGCCCGGCCTACATGGTTAGTGCTCTTCCCAGGAAACGCAAAGAGCACAGAGGCGGCAACCGAACCGCCTCTGCCACGCCTCCTCCCAAATCAGCTGCCTGCAGAGAAATCTGCGCATTGGGGATCAGAAGGCATGAACTGGGAGAGAGAGCCTAGGAGCCTGCTTGCCTTCCCCCACCACGTACACGCATATACCGAAGCTCCCTGAAGAAAGGGAGATGTTGTGCTCCCAGACACATCCCACTGGACAAGTCACAAGATCCGAGGCCCCGGGCAGCAGCACCACCCCAAGGACCTTCCACTCACCTGACTGCTTCCCCTTCTTCTTTCTCCTCCACACACAGAAGCAGGCAAGGGTGCCAAGCAATAGCGTGCTTAGAATCAGGACGATCACCAAAAAAGGCCGAAATCTGAATTCTAAGGAATACAGAAGGCATGAGGACTGAGCCTCAGCTCGCTCTCTTCTTCCTTCCCACCTGCCTGCGGGGGGCTGTCTCAAAACCCACTCCTTTTGTGGTGTAGCTGATCGCCTCACACTCTGTGAACTCACCGTCAAGGTTTACTCTTTGCTCGGTTGGGTAACCTCTTCTGAGTGATGCCAAGGCATGGATATTAGTATCAGACAGGCCTGGCTCAAATTCTAACTCTGTGAGCTCTGCACTATTTATTTTACCTCTCTGGGCCTCTCAAAGAGCCTCTCAGATTTTCTCACCTGTAAAAGGGGATAATGTTTTCTACCTATAGGGGTTAATCACATGACCCTCCAAAGTTTAGAGTTCCACAACTGTGGATTCGATGAACTGTGGATCCAGAATATTCAGGGAAAAGAAATTGCATGTGAATACATAGAGACTTTTTTCCCTAAACAATATTGTCATTATTCCCTAAACAATACAGTATAACAACTATTTAAATGGTGTTTGCATTGTATTAGGTAGGACAATTAATCTAGAGATGATTTAAGTAAGGTATACAGGAAGATATGCATGGGTTACATGCAAATACTGCACCTGTTTATGCCAGGGACTTAAACATCCGTGGATTCTGGCATCTGTGGTTGGGGGTGGGTGCTGGAACCAATCCCCCATGGATACTGAAGGACGTGTAAAGCATCTAGCACAACAAATGTTACATTTATCCATTTATTTGCTTTTAACTCAAAAAATATTCATTGTACAGGCAAGTTTTCCATCTCACTTTTCCACTACTCCTGGCTTCATAGGTCTTCCTCATTTGAACTTCTACTTAAAACATTTGTGTCACACATGTAGCCTGATATACAATCCAGTCAACAAGAAAAAGGGAAAGGAATGAAGTGTCCTAGGTACTGACAAGGCTCTTTACAAACATCGTCTCATTTACTCTTAACAGCAGTCCTGTGAGGTACCTATTATCATCCCCATTTTACCCAAGGGGGAAAGAAATTGAGACTCAAAGATGTTCATGAATCAATGAATCTGCTAGAGATCACAGAGTTTCTTCTTCTTTTTTTTTTTTCAAATAGAGACGGGATTACGCCATGTTGTCCAGACTGGTCTCAAACACCTGGGCTCAAGTGATCTACCTGCCTCCCAAACTGCCAAGATTACAGGCATGAGCCACCACACCTGACCTCTAAGAGAGCACAGAGCTTCTATGAATGATGAAGCCAGTGTCCTTGTCACTACACATTGCCTCAGTCTTTCATTCTTGGTTCGTTTTTTTTTTTTTGAGACAGAGTCTTGCACTGCTGCCTGTGCTGGGGTGCAGTGGCACAATCTCGGCTCACTGGAATCTCCACCTCCTGGGTTCAAGCAATTCTTCTGACTCAGCTTTCTGAGTAGCTGGGATTACAGGCACCTGCCACAATGCCCAGCTAATTGCTTGTATTTTTAGTAGAAACTGGGTTTCACTATGTTGACCAGACTGGTCTTGAACTCCTGATCTCGTGATCCGCCCACCCTAGCCTCCCAAAATGCTGGGATTACAGGCGTGAGCCACTGCACCTGGCCTGCCTCAGTCTTGTTTCTTTGTTGTCCAGAAGCACTTATTTTTGTTGCCCCAATTTGGCTATAAGTTCCTTACAAATGAGAGCTGTATGCTTTTTTAAAATTTTTTATGTAATGCCCATGTTGTTGGCCCAAGAAGTTTCTGTTTATCTAATAAAAAGTTGTGCCAAGTTAACACAGGTAACTCTTAGGGTGAGCATAAGCAACCCAAGAACTCGTCTAGGTATCCCTGGGATCACTGTGATGCTCCCGCTCCAGGCTACTGCTGCACGGTGTCGTTAACCTCTCAAACTATGTGGCTTGGGGAAAGTTATCACTCAAGAGAAGAGAACAGTTCTCCATCAGCCTCTCCCAGGAAGAAAATTATGTTCAAGCCATTGTAGGACTGTCACTCAGCAAACAATTACACTTTCCCTCTGCAGAGGAAACACTTGCATCTCCCAGAAAGAAATAGGGCTAACATTTTTTTTAATTTTTTTTTCCAGAATCGGATAGGCCTGGCTTTAGAGGAACCATGTGCCTGGAGGCCAGGACTGCGCGGGGAAGGGCTACAAGGCACTGGGAGAGGAGACCAAGGGATTTTATCTCATACCACATCTGTCTTGAGCATGAGCCTGGTCTTGGGGTACACACCTTCAGCCCCTGTTATAGCCCAGTGTGTTCCACTTACCCTGATGGGCATTCTGACAACCTTGAGTGAGATTCAGGGTGTGGCTTTCCCAGCTAACGGGGTTGCTGACATTGCAGGTATATGTGTGCAGGCCATCAACGTCAACCTCCTCCAGGTAGGTGAGGTTACCTGCTCTCTGGATCAGCTTGCTCCCTCTGTACCAAGCATAGGTCACATTGCCATCCCTGGAGACCAAGCAGGACAGAGCCACTTGGCACCTCCCACTGTCCAGGATCTTCCCCTGCCCCTGTAGGCGGGGCTTCTCAATTGTATCTGGAAGCAGAGATTCTGATCAGAAAGGCATTGGAAATACAGAAATTAGAGGCCTATGGGAATCAGAGAGGGCAGTATGAGCAGTCCTGGAGACTCACCAAATACAGAAACCTGGAACGTGGCTCTGTGAATTTCTCCAGATGTATAGGTGGCCTCTAGGCAGTAGAAGCCACTGTCCTGCGGCTGAGCTGCCTCGATGAGAAGAGTTGGGTTCTCAATTTCAAAATGGAATCTATCGTTGGAAGCATTGATAGTCGTCGAGCCATTCTCCCACTGAAATATCTGATTAAATGCCTTACGTGAGGGCAGCTGCATCTTCCATTGAATACTTTCAACCTTCATCTGTGTACTGCTTGGTTGTAACTGAAGACGCTGTCCCGAGATGCTAACCACATGGTCAGCTGGAACTTGGCATTCTAGGAAAGAGAACCCAAGCTGAAGGTAGTGGGAGGAGTGTCAGGCCTGAGCAATGTGGGCAGCTGGATGTGATTTCCCTTAAGCCAATAGGGTGGGGATGAGTATGAGTAGCCCAGAGCCTAGGAGAACCAGAGCCTGGATTTAACTTAAAGTGAATCCCCTCCATCTGCCTCCCCTTGTCACCAAGCTCTAAGCCCCTGGTCTGAAGGATCCTACAGACCAATAGCTAAAAACTTGAGTACTTAGTATGTGACAAGCAGGTTTCACACTTTATATATTTTAACTGTTTAACTTAACAATGACCCTTATCCCCATTTTATGGGTGAGGAAACTGAGTTAGAAAGAACTCAAGTAACTGGCTTAAATCACACAGTGAGAATGATGAGTCTGAAACCCAGTCCTTTTGGTGTTATGTTTTTGTTTTCTTTTGTTTCATTTTTTAGAGACAGGGTCTCATTCTGTCACCCAGGCTGAAGTGCAGTGGCACAGTCACAGCTCACTGCAGCCTTGAACTCCTGGGCTTGAGGTGATCCTCCCACCTCAACCTCCCTAGTAGCTGGTACTACAGGTGCACGCCACTGTACCCAGCTGATTTGTTTACTCTTTGTAAAGACAGCAGTTTGGCTTCAGAAGATAAATTCTTAACCACAATGTTATAAACGCCACATCTAATGTGACTCCCACCAGATAGTGCTGAGGCAACTACTATGGCAGGCAGTGACTGTCAGAAATTCTGAATGGTCAGGCCCAGGAAGACTAAGCCTCCAAGCTGAACTCATGGCCCCTCAACTGTACTCTCAGAGAGCCCAACTCATAATCTCTTCTCATGTACTTGGCACATTGAATTGTCATCATTACTCATTAATGTTTCCAGTTTTCCAGTGATCAGAAAGTCTCCACAGGGATTTCTCCCTGGAAAACAACTGTAAAAATAAAACTAGACTTCCCGGGCAGATCCCAGGACTTCCCTCTCAAGGGATCAAGATGAGAGCTAACGAATATGGGGGCGTGAGAACCTAGAGCAATTCAGTGCAGTCAGTGTACAAAACCGGAAGTTCTATAGCCATTTTTAGCAAGGACGCTATGTGGCATGGCCCAGCAGATGCAGGAAATTAAAAAGTCTCTGGGTGAGTTGAGGAGGGTCAGGGAGGGTTTGGAGGAGAGAATAGGAGATGGGGAGAGTCTTACAAGTGGCTCTGTTAAAATGGAGGCCATTAAAAAGACAGCAGTCGAGAGAGAGGGGTTTTCAGATGTCCAATGCATTATAAATACACTCTCTCCAAGCCACAGCTTCACCCTGGCAGTTTCTCAGGAGACTAAGTAAATAATTAAAGGACTTGTAATACTATTTGTTTGATGAAATATGTTTATTTGATCCTGATGCTCCCAAAACACATGGGGTTCCCATTTATATTTCTATAACTTGCACTGGCTCTGCCCATTAGCAAACCAAAAGTTTCTCAAAAGCAGAGACTGTGCAGTGCATATCTGCGTCTCCATCTCCCATGGTCCTAGCACTATTTATGAGAACAAGTCAACTTGCCAAGTATTGCACAAAGATCCTGAGAACAAAAGTGGACGGAAAAAGTCATTACTAAACCTACAAAAAGGATATATACTGTCCTCATCGATTATTCAGTCCTTACTGAGTCCAAATCTAATCCAGCCACTGAAGAGGCAGGGCCTCTGCATGTATAAGACATGGTTCCTGACATAGAGAGTTTGCGATCTGGAAATAAAACATACTTTCTTCTACAGCGTGCCCTTAATGGTGGAGATAAAGAATCATCTAAGGAATTCCAATTATGTAATAAAAATCCAGGTTAAGACACGCTAACCAATCCTCCCACTAAAAATAACTGGAAGAAAAATGAACAACATATAAAAGCACATTGTTAAAGTTATCAGAGAGTTTATAAAGCAGTGAAAAATTATGGGGCCAAGATCGGAAAGAAGGAAATTCAGAGAGGGGAGACCAACATTTCTGTTGTTCCCTGGAGGCATCTTCTGATTCCATAAATGGCAGCTCAAAGGCTGAGAAACTGAGCAGAGCTCACAATGAAACTCAAGGAACTAAGAGAACATGGAGTTCAGGGCCCTCCTGTTAGGAAATGGGTATACCTAAAATCCATTAGATTTGGGGTTGGGACCACAGAGGGCTGTACACTAAGAGTAACAGTGAAAGAGAAATGAACAGCCCTCAGAAGAACTGTAGCTCAGTTCTGAGTCATCACAACCCTGGATTTAACTAATGATCTGGAATCTCTAGTAGCCCTAACCCGGCGGCCACTAGAGGCAAACATAAGTTAATACTAGAGGAAAATAACATTGACCAAAGCACTGAGTTAGTTCTAGAATTTTTTGTACAGAACATCCAAAATGAGATAAAAAATAAACAAGTATAAGAAAAGGAGACATGTCCAAAAAGCAAAAGAAGTATAGAGGTAATAGAAACCAGTGAGCAGGTCATCTACGTAATAGAGTTATTAGCCATAACTTTAAAGTAATCATGTTTAATATGTTCAAGGAAATAAAACGTAAGTTCGAGAATTTCAGCAGAGAACTAATGTGATAGATTGCAAAAATAACCATGTCCTTACAATGCGACTTTGCATCTACTTCCATCATCAAGAAATGGAGTTCATTTCCCTATCTGTTGTAACCGGTCTGGTCTTCGTGAAGAAACACAGCAAAAATGATGCTGTGCCATGTCTAAGCCTAGGTCTGAAAAGGCATTGCACATTTCTACTTGTTCTCCTGGATCCTCATCTAGCTGACATGTGAACAAGCCTCAAATAGCCTGCTGGAGAATACATGATACAAAGATAAACCAACACAGCTAAGGCCATTCTAAATCAGCCACCCCTGGCCTGGGGTGGTGGCTCACACCTATAATTACAGTACTTTGGAGGCCAAGGTGGGCAGATCACTTAAGATCGGGAGTTCAAGATCACCCTGGCCAACATGGTAAAACCTTGTCTCTACTAACAATACAAAAATTAGCTGGGTGTGGTGGTGCATGCTTGTAACCCCAGCCACTTGGGAGGCTGAAGCACGAGAATCGCTTGAACCCAGGAGATGGAGTTTGCAGTAAGCCAAGATATTATACCACTGCACTCTAGCCTGGGTGACAGAGCAAGACTCAGTCTCAAAAAACAATAAAAAATAAATAAGTGAATCAGCCACCGATGATCAATCTGGCAGCTGACCATGCACGCATGGCCAATGCAAGCTAACCAGCAAAAGAACAGCCTAGCCGAGCCCAACCCAAATTGCCAACTAGCGGAATCACTACTGGATTTTGGAGTGGGTCATTATGCAGCCATAGTTACCTGAAATTAAATTATTTTTAAAGAATTAAATAAAAGTTACAGAAATAAAATGTAAAATGACTGTAAAACAAACTCAATTGAAGGGTTAAAAAGGTCATGTAGATGCCATTGAAAAGAGAATTAGAATAAAATATCTAGACTGAAATACAGAAAAACGAGAGGATAAAAATATACAAGAAAGAGTGTGAGAGATATTTGAGATATCGCAAAACCAAAACAAACCCCTAAGTGTAGTTGGGAAGCAAGGAGATGAGAGAGGAAAGAGGAACTGAGCAAAAGAGACAACAGGTAAGAATTTTCCAAAACTGAAAAAAGCCATCAAGATAGATGTGTAAAATGTGTTAAAGGCCCCAAGCAAGATCAAAGCAAACCAACAGCCAGAGCGCAGTGGTTCATGCCTGTAATCCCAGCACTTTGGGAGGCCCAGGTAGGTGGATCACCTGAGGTCAAGAGTTTGAGACCAGCCTGGCTAACATGGCAAAACCCCATCTCTACTAAAAATTAAAAAGTTAGCCAGGCATGGTGGTGCAGCCCTGTAATTCCAGCTACTCCAGAGGTTGAGGCAGGAGAACCACTTGAATCCAGGAAGTAGTGGTTGCAGTGAGCCAAGATGGCACCATTGCACTCCAGCCTGGGCGACAAGAGTGAAACTCCATCTCAAAGAAAAAAAAAGACAAAAAAAAAAAAAAAAAAAAAAACAACGAACAAAAGACAACCTCTCAATACATTAAAAAAATTATGGAAACCAAAGATAAATAGAAAAATTATAAAATAGCCAGAATTGGGGAAAACTAAATTCCCTTCACAAAATAAACTTAGCTGACATTTCAGCAAAAATAATAAAAAGCAGAAGATGATGGGGTGATTTTTTTTTCCATAGCTTATTGGGGTTCAGGTGGTGTTTGGTTACATGAGTAAGTCCTTTCTATTTTTTTGAGATGGAGTTTCGCTGTTGTTACCCAGACTAGAGTGCAATGGCACTATCTCGGCTCACCGCAATCTCCGCCTCCTAGGTTCAAGCAATTCTCCTGCCTCAGCCTCCCGAGTAGCTGGTACTACAGGCACATGCCACCATGCCCAGCTAATTTTTGTATTTTTAGTAGAGACGGGGTTTCACCTTGTTGACCAGGATGGTCTCGATCTCTTGACCTCGTGATCCACCTTCCTCGGCCTCCCAAAGTGCTGGGATTATAGGCGTGAGCCACCGCGCCCAGCCATGAGTAAGTTCTTTAGTGGTGATTTGTGAGATCTTGCATACTGCCCATCACCTGAGCAGTATACACTGCACCCTATTTGTAGTCTTTTATCCCTCACCTCGCTCCAACCCCAAGTCTCCAAAGTTTATTGTATCATTCTTAAGCCTTTGCGTGCTCATAGCTAAGCTCCCACATATCAGTGAAAACATTGATTTTCCATGGAATGGTATCTTTATAGTGCTGACAGAGTAGTAACTGCCTCTCTAGAACTTTATACCAGTGAAAAAGTATTCAAAAATCAAGGCAGGGCATGGTGGCTCACGCCTATAATCCCAGCACTTTGGAAGACCAAAGCAGGCTAATCACCTGAGGTCAAGAGTTCGAGACCAGCCTGGCCAACATGACAAAACCCCATCTCAACTAAAAATACAAAAATTAGCTGGGTGTAATGGTACATGCCCAGAATCCCAG